TATTTTTAGTTTTAATACCATTTTTGGGGATATGTTTGACACAAAAATTAGTCGTTTTTTAGTTGTATTTCAAAACTCAACAGCGAATCAAACGTTAAGATATTTTGAACACATATTTGGGTTAAAAACTTGTTTTTTAATGATTTCATTATATATTTCTATAACTAAAAAGATTTTCTAATTTTTTTTAACTAACTTTAAATTCATTTCTAGTTCTTATTATTAATTTTTGTTTTTTTCATTTTCTAATTATTATTAATTATTATTATTATTAATAATTCATTGAATTGTTATCACAAAATACAAAAACGATTGTAAAACAAATACACGTCAGAAAAAAGTTAACAAATTTTTATTTAATACTACTTTTTATTATTCATTGAAAAACGGAAAAACTCTTTTTTGATGTAATTTTTTGAGAGATTTGATTGTAAAATGACATGAAAAGTGAAAATAAAAGTCTATTTAAAGATTATGTTTTGTGCTCTCTCTCTCTCTCTCTCTCTCTCTCGTAATAAATTTCAATCAATTAATTAAAATTAATATTTTATTAGTAATTAAAATACATTTTAATTATTAAGTTTAATATAGCGTTGCATTTCGATGGCAATCCCCAACAACATGGTATTTAAACGTGGTACACTGACCCTGGTAATCAGTGGTTATATAACTTTCAGCTTGTCTCTCAAATTCATTAATCTCGGCGGCGTTGCAATAGTCCTGGTTATTTGTAAAATACAAGCTTGTTAATTTTATTACTTACTACTAAAAAATTGTTTTAAGTTGATTGTGACCAAATAAATAATTTATTTATGTTACTGATTAATGTTTACTATTTTGAGTTTTAATTTACAGTTTATTAATATTCGCAAATAGGGTAGAATAGCAATATTAAAATATTTTAATAATTTTAATTTATCTTGTTCAAACTATAATATTATGAACTGTAAAGTGAAATAATTATTTTAATAATTTTATTTTATATAATTTATATAGTTACACGGTTCACTATCCAAATGACTATTTTACTTATGAGTTTTATTATCAAGTTCTAATAAAATATTAAAGTGTGCTTATACAAAACAAAAATTATTTCTAATTAATATTAATTTCATAATAGCTTCATTTAAATTTTAACTGTTATTTTATTTTAAAACTTAACTACAAATATTTAATTAATAAAAAATTACCTTTTCATATAGCCTAGCACAATCAATGAGAGCCCATATGGAACAGCATATACGGTGTTTGTCCTTTTCATCGCCCGACTTAGAGGGGCCTAACTTATCGGTCAGACATTTATCGCCCACATCTGAGGGTATTTTATCCAGGCACGATATGTACTGACCCATAATGTTAATTGTATCCACATATTGGTCACCATATGCCACAATAGCTATGGACAGGGTAATTATCAAAATTTTATACATGTTAAAAATAATTATTATAGTTTTGACTTTGATATTCCACAGTTACTAATGATTTTATAGGAAATTTATATATTGATTACGTAAGATTATTAAAGTTACAAGGTGTATTGTATTTTATGTATGAAAGTTATCTGTAAGTTACCTGTCTACATTAAATTGTAATAATTTAAAGGAATTTTGTAAATACACTGCTCGCAATTTTACAGATATTTTACATCGTAAAACATGTGCTTGATTAGTGTTTGGTAAGATAAGGGTTGTTAATAGGGGTTTAAATGGATTGAGTGTGTATTATCTGGTAAAATATACTGGTAGTTTATGAAATTGATATCTCGTGTAATAAATGACAGCATTTAGGTTTATGGTACGGTATGAGGCCTAGATTATTGTAAGGTTTCTATTTGTTAGTCTCTCTCTCTCTCTCTCTCATACTCTCTCACGCATACACTCACTCTAACCCACTCTCTCTCCCCTCCCAAAAACCCCTCACAACCGAAACACATGTATATATATAACACATGACATACCGTTCCCTACGTGTGCTCTGATAGGCAGAGGTCGCGGACACAAAGGCCAGAGACGGCACTTCACTTCACCCGAGGAGATAGCGGCCCAACAGAAGGACCCGAACTGGAAGAGGAGAGGGGACGGGGATGAGGACGAGGAGGACGACGACCCCGAGGGCACCGGTAGCTCAGACGAGTCCAGCGAGGACGAGGGCAACGCCCGGAAGGGGGTGTCGGCGCTCATTGAGATCGAGAACCCGAATCGCGTGCACCGGAAGGCCAACAAAAATCTGACGCTCGGTATGACATACCGTTCCCCTCTCTCCCGCCCACTCACGGGAGTCACGGGACTGAACGGCGTTTACATACCGTTCCCATTGTGTGTGTAGTTATTAGGCTTACCTTTAGTTTTAGTGTAATTATTGTAGTAATGGTTGTCTGTATGGAGAGTATGCCGTCAGACATACCGTTCCCATTGGATATGTAATTATTAGCGTATATTACATGAGACTAACTGTCCGTTTAATGTATGTATTGCTATTATAGTCGCTTGAAATTCAGTATAGAGATCCAAACATACAGTTCCCCTCACTCGTCCACCCGTAATACCTTTCCCCTAATAATAGTATACACTAAACATGAACTCAAACGCATTCAACACACCATTCCCGACATACATGCGCTCCATAAACGCCTGTATACTAACCCACTATACCTGCCCCACAGAGAGCGCCGGTGGTTCATCGACATCGACGCGTAACGGGCCGGCCAAGGATGACGGCACTAACGCTGACGGGGAGCCCCTATCGCGTCGGGAACGGGAGGAACTGGAGAAGCAGAGGGCCCGGGAGGCCTACCAGCGACTGCACGCCCAGGGGAAAACCGACCAGGCGAGGGCTGACTTGGCACGACTGGCCATTATTAAGCAGCAGCGCGAGGACGCACAGAAGCGCCGGGAGGCCGACCAAAAGGCCCGGGAGGTCGAGGTTAAGGCCAAGCAGTCGCTCACCAACAAAGCGTTGGGCAAAAAGTGACCCCAAATATAGCCATCACTTTGTGTCGCCCATTATAACTGTATTTTTGTTTTTTTATCGATTTATTACCCCCTTCTGTACCCCCTTTTTGATTCACTATAAGCTCACTTTCCCCCGTTGGAGGGGCGGCACCTACCCCTCCATGTGTGGGGTTCGTGTTTATGATATACCTATGTATGGAAAGTTTAGCCCACTTTTGATACCTTAAAATTTTCGTTTGTTTTGAGTTTTTTATTAACGTTTTTTTTGGCTCTACTATCGATCCCCCGATTGTTACGATGTGGAAGGGGTTAGGCCTCCCGTTCCTCCTGTTTTTGAACCTCATTTTTGTGTAGAGTTGAGCGTAAAATTAAAAATAAAGGGTTTTTTTTGATACGAATTGTATGTTTAGTTATAAAATTGTTTTTATTATGACTTTTTTGTACGGATTAGTAGTTATGGAAAGGGGTGGTGAGAGGTGGCCTACTGTTACCTCTTGGGACCCCCCAGTGTTAGGGGTATTTGATTACAAATTAGCAGAAATTTAGGGGGTTTTTGGGGGTTTATCAAAGTTTTAGTTTAATGTACCGAAAGGTTTAGTCAATTGAGTTATTTTTGGGGTATATTTTGTCCGTATTTTTAGTTTTAATACCATTTTTGGGGATATGTTTGACACAAAAATTAGTCGTTTTTTAGTTGTATTTCAAAACTCAACAGCGAATCAAACGTTAAGATATTTTGAACACATATTTGGGTTAAAACTTGTTTTTTTAATGATTTCATTATATATTTCTATAACTAATCAAAAAATATTTCTCTAATTTTTAAATAACTTTAAATTCATTTCTAGTTTTTATTATTAATTTTTGTTTTTTTTCATTTTCTAATTATTATTATTATTATTAATAATTCATTGAATTGTTATCACAAAATACAAAACCGATTGTAAAACAAATACACGTCAGAAAAAAGTTAACAAATTTTTATTTAATACTACTTTTTATTATTCATTTAAAAAAGGAAAAACTCTTTTTTGATGTAATTTTTTGAGAGATTTGATTGTAAAATGACATGAAAAGCGAAAATAAAAGTATATTTAATGATTATATTTTGTTTACTCTCTCTCTCTCTCTCTCGTAATAAATTTCAATCAATTAATTAAAATTAATATTTTATTAGTAATTAATATACATTTTAATTATTAATTTTAATATGCCGTTGCATTTCGATGGCAATCCCCAACAACATGATATTTAAACGTGGTACATTGACCCTGGTAATCAGTGGTTATATAACTTTCAGCTTGTCTCTCAAATTCATTAATCTCCGCGGCGTTGCAATAGTCCTGGTTATTTATAAAATACAAACTTGTTAATTTTATTATTAACTACTAAAAAATTGTTTTAAGTTGATTGTGACCAAATAAATAATTTATTTATGTTACTGATTAATGTTTACTATTTTGAGTTTTAACTTACAGTTTATTAATATTCGCAAATAGGGTAGAATAGCAATATTAAAATATTTTAATAATTTTAATTTATCTTGTTCAAACTATAATATTATGAACTGTAAAGTGAAATAATTATTTTAATAACTATTTTATTTTATATAATTTATATAGTTACACGGTTCACTATCCAAATGACTATTTTACTTATGAGTTTTATTATAAAGTTCTAATAAAATATTAAAGTGTGCTTATACAAAACAAAAATTATTTCTAATTAATATTAATTTCATAATAGCTCCATTTAAATTTTAACTGTTATTTTATTTTAAAACTTAACTACAAATATTTAATTAATAAAAAATTACCTTTTCATATAGCCTAGCACAATCAATGAGAGCCCATATGGAACAGCATATGCGGTGTATGTCCTTTTCATCGCCCGACTTAGAGGGGCCTAACTTATCGGTCAGACATTTATCGCCCACATCTGAGGGTATTTTATCCAGGCACGATATGTACTGACCCATAGTCTTAATTGTATCCACATATTGGTCACCGTATGCCACAATAGCAACGGACAAGGTAATTATTAAAATTTTAAACATGTTAAAAATAATTATTTTATTTTTGACTGATATTCAACAGTTACTCATGATTTTATAGGAAATTTATATAACAATTACGTAAAATTATTAAAGTTACAAAGTAGATCTTATTTTAATTCTGGAAGTTATATGAAAATTACTAAATGAAAATTAATTGTAATAATTTAAAGTAATTTTATAAAAAATACTACTTGAAAAAATTATAGACATGTTACATTTTAAAACATGTGCTAGATTAGTGTTTCATAAGATTAGGATGTTAGTGGAGGTATAAATGGATTGAGTGTATATTATCTGGTAAAATATAATTTATAAAATTGATATCTCGTGTAATAAATGACAGCATTTAGGTTTATAGTACGGTAAAGGCTTAGACTATTGTAAAGTACTTATTTGTTAGTCTCTCTCTCTCTCTCTCTCTCTCTCTCTCTCTCTCTATTTTGTAATAAAATTTGATAATTTTATTAAAAATTATATTTATTTAGTATTAAAGTATTTAATACATTAGAGTTTAAACTTAGTATTAAAACCTGATACACTGACCCTGATCATCTAAACAAAAATATAAGCTTGATAATTTTAATAATAACTTTTACTAAAATTTAGTATTATATAATAACAAAATAACAAATTAAATAAAAAATTATCATTGTTAGTTTAACAACTCAGGGTTTATTATACCAGACTACCTCAATATATAAAGGACCTTTTACAAATCGATAAAATGGGGTACGATAGCCCTGGCCCCAAGTAGCATGGCCATCGTGTTCGCCCACGACTGCCGCGCAATAGCCATTCAGCCAGGAGTGAATGTCCATGGCAATTTGTTGGTAGCACGGATTTTCGGTGTCTGTTCTAGTTGCCATTTTAGCTGTGCACTTGCTCAATTTTTCTGGCGTAATTAATTCGCTAAAATGTTGGGTTATGTAGTCGTAGCCATAGTTTCCGTACTTATCATCAACCTTTTCGACAATCGTTGGCGTGGCATTACGTGCTAGCTCAATATTGCTCAATGTGATCTAGGTGGACAATGTTTATGATTAATTAGTAGCCTACATTATTATTAAATTAGATGAGCTATATAAAATAACTTTTAAAATTGTCATATTTTATGAATGCTTACAGTTTTCATATCGGCGATAGGCTTAGTCTTATAGAGTGCTAACTGTGTTCCCTTGTATTCAACGATAATAAATGAATGTATTTTATAATTCATATACAGCTCGTAATCATCATTTTTGGCGACGACCCTAATGTTGCCGATCCAACCCGACTCGTACTGACTGTCCATGAGGTCGACCATCCCTTTCACCATATTGTGAGGTGTCGTCCCTTTCGCCAAAAAGTCCAACACTTTTGAGACGACAAACAACTCCTGCTTTGAGTCGATATTACTGTCGATTACGTGAACGTCATCTCCGGTCAGAAACACGCCTTGAATTGCGATGAAAATCACCGCAACTTTGATGGCATACATTATACGAGTAAAAGGATACTGTTTATAATTTTATTTGTAAAAAATATACTTGTTAACTATTATTACTTGTGTGTCGAGTATTTATACCTTTTTTCGCAATCAATATATTGTGTTTACCTCTTTTCTTAAGTGTTAAGTTCATTACCGATTGATAGCATAGATTTTGAGCACTTTAAGGTTTATCGCCATTTATGGTATTTAATCAAAAAATAATACCGATTAAAAAGTTTACAATAACGATTTTGTTGAATAAATAATTTATGATTTATACTTAATTAAAATAATACTTAACTAACTTCGAATTATTCTCATTTAATTAGTTAGTCTAAAAAACCTAAACATAACAAACTGTACAGTTGTGATAGGCAGTACAATTTAACTGTACATGCTGTATAGTCAATTTTCGGATACTTGAATATTAATCTATTGTATAGAATAAACTTTATTGATAAATAGGACAATTTATATAACAATTTCGGTCGTTGTGTAACAATTACTACTACATGAACTATTTTTATTTTATTATTAAATCACGTAAAATATTTTTGTTTTTCTATGAGCAACATGATAAACTAGAGAAAATTAATCATACTTAACTTTAATATTGAGAAGCAAATAGATTATGTGTAGGTTAGGTCACCGGCCCGTAGGGTAAGTGCCCAAAAAATAGACATTTTTAAAGATATCTTTTAAATGCTATTTATTATCTTTCAAACTCAATACAAACAAGTGGTCAATAGGTAGACAACAGTGAATAATAGATAGGGTGTGGGTTTATACACTGATGTAATGAACCGGAATATTCTAGGAACTTATGCTGTGCTATGCAGTAAGTGGCAATACCTTGCCAACACCCTGTACATGTAATACGTACATGAAACAGTTTAAAATACATAATAATGAATTGGTGCGTAAATTATGAATTAATTTTAAATCATAAAATTGTCTCCTACAATATAATGAACACATAAGCAACCATACATATGGATCACGTGACATTTGTTACACAATGTACTTTATCAAAAGTACATAGTATATCACATAATTGTCTCAATGGTATAGACAATTTAATGTGAACAAAAAAATTATGTTTAATAAAATAACAGGCTGACTTTAATGCACAAATCAATTAATGATTGTATTGATAATGGATCTTGTTTATTATATGTTATTGTTTTATTATTTTAATTAAATTAAGAAAAATTATAAAATTATAAATTAATTAGGTTAATTAGGTATAGTTAGTTTAAATAAAATATGTACACATAATTTAATAAAAGACTGTTATAAAATTATACGTTTTAAAAAATATATGAAATATTTTATTTTTAAAACAGTTTACAATATTGTTTAAATATTTATTGTCATTTTCATAAATTAATTAGTTATACATAGTAGCGCAATTAAATTATAATTAAATCAAATAAATTTACAAAAAAAAGTAAAACGTTTTAAACTTTACCTATAATTAAATGCAATATTATTATTGATTTATAAACTTTTATTCGTTGATTAATAAAAAGAGTTTTGATTAAGCTTTTTATTTAAATATATTTAATTTTATTATAAATATAACGTGATTATTATTGTGACAAATAATTTTAATTATTATAAGAGTTGTCATATAATACAGTATAAATCATATGTAAACAAATTAAAAATTGTAAAGATTTTACATTGTCAATTTTAATTATATTGAAATTAATGACATAATTTTGTTGCATTTTCCTTACTCAATTAATTTTAATTAAAGTAATCGTAAAATTTAATTCTTGAAAAGAATAATTAATTTTATGAAATATAATTTAAAATGTGTACCTGGTAAATGAAATTTATTTTGATTTTCTAATTTTTTTACCTATTTCTTAATAAAACGTAACTTTTGGAGCCAAACATAATGCACCAAGGCAAATCGTTCATCGTTTTCATTTTTAAATTGAGGCTTTGTTATTAAATCGTAGCAAGGATCATTTTTAAACTCATCTATTGTAATTGACAAATTATCAAATACTGACATTGCCTTGCTTATATAAATTCTTTTATCGGGAATTAAACAAATCATATGTTGCATTAAATTATCCATGGTAACTATATGATTGTATAATTTGCTGTCACCGTAAATTGTATCAAGCTTGTTATCACTATAATAAATAATAAATTTTAAAAAATTAAATTTAACAAGGTCATAAGTTAATAGCGTAATTATTTTATTTATATTAAAATATCTAGATTCAAAAGTTTTATATTAAACATACATATAAAATAAATAATCTAGATACATACTCGTAAAATACCCAGCCAAATATATCGTACGCTACAATTCCCACGCTATAAATATCGGCCATGTTACTATATTTGCTAGCTAATTTAACTTCCGGTGCCATATATCTTAAGGTGCCGACAGCGCCGGTATGTTTAGCGCCGGCAATGTCGTGAACAGCAGCCAGGCCAAAGTCGCACAATTTAAAACACCGACCCGGCTCACTTGACTTCGGTGTGGCCAACAAAATATTGTCGGGTTTGAGGTCTCGATGAATGACCGGTGGATTCAATTCGTGTAGATATTGAACGCATTCTAAGATCTCTTTGAATATTTGGCACGAAATGAAAAACTCGATTAAATTCATGCGGTTGTGTGGGGCCGGGTTTG